AGCGGGAGCTTGGTTCTTGGTGTCATGAAAGCTGGCTTTTTTTTTTTTTTTTTTGCCCTGCGGTGAGCTTTCACTTCTGTATCTGTAAAAATGAAAAAATATCTGTCACACCTAGTACGTAAGCTCTTGGAGGACTTCAGTGTATTGACCTGTGTGAGGGACTTGACGCAGCGACAGACAGACATGCTGTCAGGAGGAGCACCACGCCTAGAGGGTAGCGATAGCTTATTAGGAAGTGTTAATATGGTTAGTATATGTTCATTCGTTTTTCAAAGCATCCAAATGCCTCACTTTGCGTAAGGAAGGGCTCCTCTTAAGTGTCCACACTGAATCTTACTTCCTCTAGTTTCAGGTCTTACTGAGGGTGTATTTTTTATTTATTTTTATTTTTTTGCCGAACTGGGGATTGAACTCAGGCCCTTGTGCTTGCCAGGGAAGCGCTTAATCTACTGAGCCATCTCCCCGGCCCTGAGTATGTATTGTTATTGTTATTATTACTATTTTGAGATAGGGTTTTGCTAGGTCACTCAGGCTGGCCTTGAACTCACTATGTAGCCTCAGTGAGCCTTGAGTTTATGGCAATCCTCTTGCCTCAGCCTCCTGAGCAGTAAGGTTGTAGGCGTGCACCACCATGCCTGGCGTGTTGGTTAATATTTATATAGGACCAGGAGGATGGCGGGCACTCGGAGGACCAGACTGCCAGCTTCCAAGGATCCTTGGAGGGGTGTACCCCAGGGGTCCTCCAGTCCCCTAAGGGGGTGGGGTTGTCAGGGAATGTGGCTAAGAAAAGCTTCAAGCTCAAGCTGTGGGTCTTGGTTACTTTTCTCTTGCTGCTGAGACAAAATACCTGATGTTCAGAATTAAGGAAGGAAAGGTTGATGTCGCTCACAGTGTGTGAGGCGGTTTCAGTCCAGGCTTGGCTGGCTCTGAGCCAGAGTGGTACTGCACAATGGCAGCAGATGACAGCGACAGCAACATGTAAGGACCAGGCGGGAGCAAGTCTCTTTTCTCCTTTATGTCCTAAGTAGAGTTCTACTCCGGCGGCCAGCATGTAGCACTTACCCCATCTCCACCTGGCCCTCTTGACAGGATGAGGATGTTTACAGAGTGCGAGGACGCTGACCCCCTGTTGAGTCCCTTAGTTAAACTTCTAAACTTCTCAAGTTGACACAGTGTATCACTCAGCACACTGAGTTTGCACGGATGGCTGTCTTTGCTCTACCTTGCCAAGGCTGTAGGGCTAGAGCCCTTCCCCACCTTTTGAGACACAGTCTTGCTGTGGGGTTCAGGCTGGCCTCAAACTCGTGGAAATCCTCCTGCCTCAGTCTCCCAAGTGGGGGATTAGAGATGTGCCGCCATGCCAGGCTAAGAATGCGTTTTCTTCTGGGAGGTGTAAGAGGGGCAAGCGGCAATCCTAGGCAATGATGTCTGCAACCGGGAGGCTCAGGCCGGAGGGGGCTGGCCGATCTGTGTGCGGGGTTTCCCTGCCAAGCCCGACACCAGTGAGAGACCAAAGTAAAGAAAGGTTGTTGTGCAGAAGACCTCCAAGCGCTGGCGATCTGTGCAGGAGGGGCTGGGGGGCCAGCGTTCAGCCTGCAGGTCAGCGCAGTGATTTCTGGTCACACTGTTTAGGACACTGCTCCAGGGAAAGGAATGTGGCCAGCCTGGTGAGCTTGGAAGCATGGGCAGCCGGCCCAAAGGGGCAGCGTGTCCTCCTGGGGTTACAGCTGAACCCGGCAGTGAGGGTGAGCAAAGGTGTGTTTGCATTAAGAACTTGAGGGTCAGCCAAATAGCTCAGCAGATTGAAGTGGCTGCAAGCAGGCACAGGGACTAGCGATTCGATTTCCTGGGCCTGCCATGCCGGCCTGCCTCCGGGGCACGCTGAGAGGGCAATTGAGACTGGGCATGGTGGCTTGTGCCTGTAATCTCAGCTTTTGGGAAGCTGGAAACAGGCGAATCACTACAAGTCTGATCTAGTAGTGCAACCCTGAACACCCTGTAGACCATTTCCTAAAATTAAAAAAAAAAAAAAAAAAGAACTTTAGCTTGGCATGGTGGCGCACCCCTGCAGTCCTAACACTTGGGAGGCTGAGACAGGAGGATTGCTACAAGTTTGAGGCCAGCCTGAATTAGGTACATGGCAAGACACTGTCTTAAAAAAAAGGAGGGGCTAGGGAGATGGCTCAGTGGAATATGCGCTTTCCTAGCAAGCGCAAGGGCTAGAGTTCAATCCCCGGTTTTGCGAAAAGGAAAAAAAGAAGCTATTTTTGTATCGCCTTGCTAGCCACAAGACTGGCCTCCCCAAGTTCGCAGCCTCAAGCTCACCTCTTTGAGCACTTCTAAATTCGTTTCTGGCAAGACACATGCTGGAAACCGGAGACCTGCAGTAGCTGCGCTCTAGCTTTGCCAGCAAGTCTCTCAACCACAGGACTGAGACAGGGTCTTGCGATGCAGTTCAGGCAGGCCTTCAACTCTATTTGTATCCCACCTTGGCTTCGGACTTGTGGCAGTCCTCCTGCCTCAGCCTCCGAAGTGCTGGAATTACAGGCATGTGCCCCCACGGCTGGCTCTACATGATTAATTGTGAGGATAAAAAGTTTGCTTTTCCCAGCGCTTGGGAGGCTGAAAACAGGAGAATCACTATGAGGCCCATGTACATAGCGGGACCCTATAGACCCTGTACTCAAGACATTAAAAAAAAAAAAAAAAAAGTTTTGCTTTGTTTTTGGCAACCAGATTTGAATTTCAGGATAATGGACTCAAAATATGCACCTGGCTGTCGGCTTGCCCCACCTTCATCAAAATCACAGGACAGGGGGCAGGTGTTGGAAGTGAATGCAGACTCTGGAGTGGGACTTAGGGATCCACAAGTGAAAAAGCCTACCAAGTCTGAGGCTGGTGAGATAGCTCAGCGGTCTAAAGCACCTAGTTAGGCAAGCTTAGGGTGGGTTAAGGGACCTCGGTTCAATTCCCAGCACCACATGCAGTGCCAGCCTGGCCCTCAGGGTGGGCTGAGCTGGCAAAAATAAATAAATAAAATAAAATCCTACCAGGTCTAAGATAGGCTACATGGACAGTAGCGTGTCCATCTCCACTGGTGGTCCCTGTGGAGTGGGCAAAGCCACTCCAGGAAGCTAAGTGGAAATTCACCTTCAGAAGTTACTTTTTTTTGGTACAGGAACTCAAACTCAGGACCTTACATTGGTCCTTGCTCTTGCCAGGCAGGTGCTCACGTCTCAGCTACATTCCTGGCCCCAGGAGTTACTTTCCCACTTGGCCTCAGTTACTGCTTCTCTGAAATGGGTATTTTCGTGAGCTCTAAGCTTTAAAAGCTAGCATCACAATCAGTTCAGGGTTGGCTATTGTGATGGGGTCAGGGGCTGGGACTTTGCCTTTTAAACCAACATTTGCAGTTGAACAGGGACAGACGTGTCTGACAGCTACAACCTAAATGCGAGTGAAATTTGCCCACTACACATCACCGGTTCTCGGAGCCTCAGTTTCCCTCTTGGTCAGAAGCACTTGTTGCTAGACAACAGGAAGAGAAAATTAAAAAATATGAACATCTTGGGAAAGCGCAGTAGCCTTGCCAAGAGACGCTCTTACATTTCCCACCTGGAGCCCTTTCAGGTAACAACCCATTCCCGCCCCCATCCCATTCTGAGGGTAGCGGCCCTTTTAAAAGCCCTGACCAATCGCCCCCCATTTCCGCGGTCTCTCCTCGGCTCGCGGTAGGGGATAGACTGGTCGGGCCTGGCGCGCGCTCGGCCCCGCCCCCGCCGCGCTCTGGTTGGCTGCGGCGGCCGCGGGC